TGATAAGTTGCAAAACGAGTGTGATATCAGACAAGATATGATTAAAATTGACAATTAGGTGGCCATTTTTATATTGTGTAATATAAAGGGCCAGACATGCTTAGCAGCATGCCCTTAAATTAATGTGATATGGGCGTTCGGGGATATATTGAGTGCTTGAGTTTAAGCAAACGTTAACACAGTCTTCTAGTTACACTTACAGTTAACAGATAAAAGTTTTTATATTGTGACTTGTTTTGTAGGTCCATATACTGGTATATATATTAGGTGCTTATTTCCAGGAGAGATAAAACGTTACCATCATATTTATATCAATGTTTTAGTCGCAGGTAATTTACCTTACTTGACACAATGTGCAGGTTAGAGATGTAGTTTACAGGAATTGTTGTTACTTGTGGCGACTTGTAGGGTGAGGAGCGTGGGGGTGCAGGAGACGGCCGTGATGACCAACCTGCCCCATCTGAGCCCGAAGTCTGTGAGGTTGGTAACCACAAACGTAGCCACACATTAAAAAAAAAAAAACCTTTTATTTAAGTTCCTGGCAACTTAGGATGAGAGAACGCATCTGTTTACGTTATTGTCAGTGTAGTCATGGGCTGCATTGAAGATGTAGCTAACTTACAATAAGCTAATTAATACTGTGTCTGTGTATTTGTCAACTACGGTAATTCTTGTCTGTTCTATAACCTGGCAGCTAGTTAATTACATTCATGAGAGCTGGGTTACGTTTAAACCACTAGCTAATGTTATATCACGTATACAGTGCATAACAACATGGTCAAGTTACAGTGCTTCAAATTTTGCCGACTGTAATTAATTAAGCAGATAAAGTTGTTTCGATATACTGTACAGTACCTGTACTTACAGTGCCATAATTTATTAACTTTATGTAATATAAGTCTACATGGCAATTATGCAGTAAATATTACAGCTTCTGGTGGTTACCAAGATGCATTTTCTTTAAAAAAAGTAAAATAATACATTTGTCTCTCTGCTTTATGAACATTAATAAACTAAATTTTCTAAATTTCTGCAATATTATAACTTCTATACATGCATGATGATGGCAGGTTGAAATTATGAAATCTGATTTATTTACAAAATTATTGATATAACTGATGTGTCCTCCTTCAAATGGTGTTATGAGAGATGCGGTTGATTCATCGTTAATTATTGTAGCAGCTTCAATGTATTTTAGTAAGAAATTGTTGTTAAAAGCAAATTTGAAAGATATGCAAGTTGCTTTGAAAAGTATTTTTCCTCTTTAATTGTCTTTTTATTTGAATAAGTTAGATGCGTTCTCACATCACAAGATTAAGGTACAACTCATCTCAACAATATTTGTAAGCTTTATTGCTTGTGGTAACTCAGTTCTCGTCTCTGGAAAATTTGTGTAATTTTTTCTGGTTTGATGAGCCAATTCTGGATATCAAGTTTGTGGTACAGCAATAGTGCCTTAGAGACATGGGTGATGTGATTAAGTGGAGGTAATAAGAAGCTACACTTCTTTTAGATTTCGGCGGTGGAAGAACTACGAGAGTGCCTCAAAGGGATGGGTACAGTGCCCTACGAGGATAATACTGAGAATATCCAGGTGTGATGCCGTTGTTATTGCTGCTGGTGTTGCTTCATATGTACTGCATATTTTTAGTGCTGCACACTGCACAACGGGGACAGAAACACCCACCCAGGCCACCCACTAACAACACCTACACTGCTGTTTTTTTTCTCCAAACAGTGAATTCAGTGTTAAAACAATTAATTGGTTTTGAGATAATTGCCGCCGGTGATGCCGCCACCATGATGATCCTCTTTTTTACTTAACCTTTTGAGATCAAAAAGGTTAAGCCATGGTATTTAGAGGTTTAAACCATCGTTCTCAAAGGATTAACCAAACTGAATGTATGCAAGTAAATTTAAGAAGCTCGAGGTATTATTTAAAAATATATAAAATCTTCACATTGTGAGAACCAATTAAGTGCCCTAAAACTGGTTTCATTAAGTCAAGTATGTCATTTGTGGACATTAATCATACCCGTCTGGCCCCTCACAACTCCCAAGGTGAATACAGTGAGAGATGGGCTGGGAGAGTCCCGTGTGTCTGTCGTGGTGCGTGTCGCCGGGGTGAGGTGGGCCATCCCAACGTGACAAAGCTTCTTGCCTCCTTTTACAGGATAGTTTGTTTTTTGTTTTTTGTTTTTTGTTTTATACAGAGTTGATTATTACTTGTTTTATGTTTTCATTATATAATGTTTGCTAATGGTTTTTTTTTTTTGCATTCTTAAGCTTTATGTGCTGTATTTACTTTTTATTTGTGTATTTGTGTACCAAATCGGTTTTATTACACCGCGTACACAGAGTTTACCAACCTTAATTATATTTATTAACTTAAAATTGAGTGCTTTTATTTTTAATGTGCCTGAGTTGTAGCAGGAACTTTGATTTTTGTCTGTATTGATAAAATCTTTATAACTTATTTGTCTGTGATGCTGTATATTTAAATCATGGATGCGAATGTTTAGTAAATAGCCTATCAAGTTTATTATGATGACCAAGAATAAAATTGATTGAAATATGTTGACCTTAAAGTACTGTACGTTGTTGATGTTCATCTCTTGATGCACAATTCACCAGTACAGTACTGTCACAACACACAGATACTGATCACCAACAACTGATGGTCCCGCCCACCTTCCACTATCGGACAACTGAGGTCTATCTTGTGCTGCTTTGTTTACTTCCACTCCTGACTCACACACACACACACACACACTAACATCTGATGCTGTCTTATCACACTGTAGTTCTTTGCATAGTTTGTAGTATTGACTTCGTAGTAATATGGTAGAAACACACTTTTTTTGTCAGTGTTTAATGTTAAGGTGATAAGGTCCTCCATTACTACCTTAGCAATCTGTTCATGTTGTCTTAACTGTCACAGTTGTTAGGGACACTCAAAAGTGGCTGGAGCCACTTGTTACTATAGTCATGAAAATAAGACAATAAGTCCTATAACAAAAGAAAAACTTTAAACTTGACCAGCATGACTACACCATCACCACTTTTTTTTATGCGGAGAATAGCCCACTCGGGCACAGTTCATTGACCCACAACGGCGCCCAAGGGGCAAACAAATTAGAGAAAAAAGAAATTAAAAACAGAAAAGAAAAAGATTATATTAATCTACACCACGAAGATGCCGGAAAACCAGCTTTTTGAAGTGAGCTTGATTGTATGAGTATGGAAACACAGAAGAAGGCACAACATTCCACAGTTTGGCTGTGTGAGGAAAGAAGGATGGACTATAACGGGTTATTCTATTGTGACCGACATCCACTGACAAACGGAGGGCAAGACGTGTGTTACGAGCCCACGGCCTTGCCGGCGGTACACAGGATGCCAAATCCACCGAGCATTGCCCGTTAAAGTACCAGTAAAAGAGAGAGAGTGAAGCAACATTGCGGCCAAGAGAAAGGGAAGAGAGATTATCAACTAAAGGAGGAGAGTTAATAAGATGAAATGCCTTTGATTCCACCCTATCTAACAGTTGGACAGAAGAAGAGCCACCCCAGATATGAGAGCAGTACTCCAAGTTAGGACAAATGAATCCCTTATAAACTTTAAGCAACTGTTCAGGAGGGAAGTAGCTACGTCATCTGTACAGAATTCCCAGCTTTCGGGAGGCAGCTTTAGCAATGTTGAAATTAGAGGAAATGGTGAGGCCTAGCATATCTATTCTAGAATGTGGCAGAATGATTGCGTCCTAAAATGTGATTGGTGGAAGATCATCTAATTTGGAAAGTGTAATTGGTAAATACTGAATTTTATTACGATTGAATTTAACCAAGTTTCTGCCATCCCCATTCGGAGATGCTGCACAGATCCGCATTGATAGATGTAATGATACCAGCTCTAGAAACAGATCTAGTTTGAGAATTAGAGGGAAGGGGAAAATGTGAAGAAGGGTGAAGAGTAGAATCATCAGCGTAAGAATGGATATAATTAGTCATAGTGTGAAGTAAATCATTGATAAAAAGAAGGGAGAGAGTAGGTGAAAGAACTTCTGTTCTTTCACCTACTCTGTGGGACACCACTATTGGTAGAGAAAGAGCGAGAGATTGATCCTTCTACAACAACTGCCAGGGATCGGTTCTCAAGGAAGCTAGAAATTTGAGAACAAAGTGGGGGAGAGAAACCATAAGAGGAAAGTTTAGAAAGCAAAGACTTGTGCCATACCCTGTCAAATGCTTTGGAGATGTCGAGGGCCACGACGAAAGTTCCCCCATAATCCCCAGTAGATCTCACCTGGCGAAAGCCGTACTGGTGATCTGACAAATGAGAATGGCATTTAAGGTGACGGAGAAAATGAGAGTTTAAGTTAGTTTAAAAAATCTTAGAGAGGGATGTAGTTAGGGCAATGGGGCTATAGTTAGAGGGTTTGGAATGGTCACCCTTCTTCGTGATGGGCTGAACCGAGGTATGCTTCCAAGAACAAGGAGGAGTTTGAGTTTTGAGGCAAAGGCGAAAGATGCGAGCAAGCACAGGGGCCAGAACTTCAGTCCACACCCTCAGAACACGAGGGGGTATTCCGTCCGGTCCCTGCGCCTTACTCACATCCAACCTGGATGTCCTCTCCTCCTGACCTCAAACTTCGCCTCTTGTCCATTCTAACTTGTTACTCATCTTAAGCCTCCTATCTCATTGATCATTTTATCTGCTAAAATGAAATGATACAGCAGTTTTTATGTTATATTTGAGAGATCTAATTAATGTTTATACTATGATATAATTTTTCTATTTAACTACTGTAACACATGACCTGTAGTGTAGGCCCTATGTAAATGCCAAAGACGAGCTGTTTTGGTTTGTCATCAGTATGATGGGGCATGAATGGTGTATCTTCACTGTCTCCATTGCTAGAGGCACACACGAGTGGATGGAGCTTGATCAGTAGTTCAGTTTTTGCACTACTTGAAAATAATGATTATTCCTATGTGCAGGGTATATTGCGCAAGACGAGCCACTCCCGCGATAGCATGAAGAGGAACCAGGATGGAGCGTCCAGCTACGCCAATGGTGACCATGATATGCCCACCTCCCCCACCTTCTACGAGGAAACTGAGGAGGCCATGCTCTAGGATACTTATCCTCACACACACACACAGGAGTATCATGCCAGGGCTGTGTTGTATCTAATAGAGCAGAACCTGGAGACTGTGTCATTACAAGGTCAAAGGAATCTAGATGTGAAATAATATCAAGGAAACATTTTTCACTATGAAATTGAGGACCGAGAGGCCATGTTATAACAAGAATAGGAGAAGTAGGAGGTCTTGCTGTAACAAAGATAGTAGGGATGGGAGGCAATGGTATAAGAAGGATCGTCAGATGAGAAACAAATTGTTTTGAGGTGGAGGAGAGTGAAGGGCGACTTACATTAAAGTTGACCCATTTTCATTCTGGCATGAAAAAGGGAACACAGTAACTTGTTCAGTAGGGTGAGTTTGATGATATGTTTAGAAAGTCTGTTTTATGACTGATCGATTGACAGGTTATGATAGTAATTGGCAGGCAGGATCAATTTGTATATAAGAATTGTTACACGCATGACACAGTATAGTCATGGCCCTTGGAAGCGTGAAATTTTCATATCTACTTACTTGTGTCATAACAGCGAGGTTGTTGAAACCAGTGTGATTCATGACTTGTAAATGAGAGGCTACTAGGTCGATAATTTTTGTGATCAGTAAACAAAGCACCAAGAAATATAGCCTCTGGTATATATGTAGCCCATATTATGTACCTAAAGTAAAGAATCCCCTAATCTAAACCAACTTAACCAAGGTACAACTAGCTACAGTAAGATACATTGGTTGGCATTCTTATTTGGACGCTTCATTACCCAGGGTATAGATTTTAGGGTGGCATGTGGCATTTTTACCAAGGGCCTTCTTGTTCGGCATTTTCTTTTCAGTGGCCTTATGACCGGCACCCTATGACAGCAAAGAATTTAGGAAGAAAAATGTATTAATAATAGCACCTGTATGTTCCAGCATGAACAAGTGATAATAACAATGTGTTAGAGGTAAATAGTTAAGTAAGGTGGATAAGGAGAATTTCATCTTTATTTTACCCTTCACCTCAGATTACAATTAAGAGCTTTTGCTAGATACTGTACTTCAAGTGATACAAAGTTAGTTGCTTAACAAATAGGGAAAAAATTTTCATAAATGAATTATGGTTTTGGATAGTGATCAATCTCATTCGTTATTTGGAAGAATTATATAATCTTCATCAGTCTCAAAAAGTTAAGATACACGTAAGATTAAGTTAAAGACAATATAAGATACAACACCGGATTAAGGAACACAGGACTCCAGTGATATTTTATCCTTTTCAATCGGAGCTGACAGATCAAATGGACCCCAATCCCAATAGATACCACCTCAACCTAACTATTTGGATTAGGGTTCATTAGCCCTGGGCCTAATCTGAATAATTAGGTTAGACTGGGGTCAATTAAGACTGGGACCCATTTGACTTAAAATCATAAACCGTGTAACCTTGTTTGCGAGTGCCACTGTACAACACCTGTAGTAAGACACATGATGTACCATTGTCTTTGAGGGGCTGGATCTGCTTATTGTGTTTTGTATTGACACAGTAGTTTCACATCCAGATCATTTATTAAGAAACAACTGTATAAATACATTGATTTACTTATTTATGTATATAAAGGCTTTCAAGTAGCAGAGTATTTGAAGAAGTTTAACTTACAAAGGAATAGAGAATAAATGTTTATAATACTGTATTATATTCATAACAATCATAATTGTGAAACAGATTAATAAGACAACGAAAACCAGGAGAATTTATACAGTTGTACTCACAAAATTATAACTAATATACAGGGTATTTAATAGCTGTGGGTATATTTCATGGGTTTAGACAATTATTTCACAGTTTATATGTACTGTATTCTCTGTTAATATAGCAAATTTCTGTATTATTCTGCAAAGTAGATATTTATATTGTGAAGGAAATTAGAAAAATTATTATAGATTTTTATTTTAAATAATTTATTTACTTAGACATATAATACTTAGAGACACAGGAAGAATTATTATATGTACTTATGCTGTATTTTTCATTATATATTAACCTGTAAAAATATACTATTACCTGGAATTTATATTTTTACTGATAGCATTTAATTGTTGTATAAGGTAGAATAAGTACACTACAATATACTGTTCCTAATAGGTAGCCCAATTTTAGTCTTGGATAATGTGGTGGCAGAGACAGTAACCTTTAGTGACTGACATATGTAAGAAACAGACTCCACACTTTTGTATTAATGCAGTGCAGTACTGTATTCACATTAATATTTCTTTGCTGATAATTTCGGAATAGACAATATATGTTGCTGATAGTATAGCAAGATCAACTTATTTTTGCTGGTGTTACTGCAAGGTAAACATACTGTATATAACTGGCACTGAGACCAACATCATTGCTAGTAATAACTGAAGATGAACTTGAAATACAGTACAGTACTTGTATGTCATTAACAACATTTGTTTCCCTGTAGTGTCCGCAGCTTGACACATTTTGCTGGTCAAGATATTTATCGTTTCAATTATTCCATCATAACATAATGTAAATGTTGTGCTGTTATTATTGCTCCTTGTAGATAAGATTATTTTATTGTTATGAATTTAAAAATCAAATTACTTTTGTAACATTAAGCTCTGCTTACGTGTAATTAAAGTACAGTACTGTATAAGCAGAAGCAGATAGAAGTACGAGTACTGTTTACTGATGTTAATACAAGGTACTGTACAGATATTTTAGTTCTGTATTACCTTATACTGTATCAGTGTTTGTATACAATATATATTGTTATTATACAATGAATGGATTGTTGTTGTCTTATGATCAGCAATATGTTTAGTTATAGTACTGTAATAAAACGTTTATATAATTGATAGTGTATACTGCACTGTGAAAAGAAGTACGTATAGTAATATAGTATGTCCTCACACACATATAATGTAATTGTATTACTGAAGTGAGTTCTGTATATGAAAACTAAATTTAGAATATGATTAGCAATCGGTTGCCAGTGAATTTTGCATTCACAATACTGTAATCTTTCACAAGGCTCCTAGCATTACTGTTAACCTGCCATAAAGATCCCTTCTTACAAGGATTATTCCTTGTAACACAAGATGTAAGAACACAAATACAGGGTATGTTGTCCAAAATTGCATCAAATTTACATTTAAGATTGCTATATATTGATTAAAGGTAGGAAATGAAATTAAAGAAGGGAACATTTCCCAAGCGATTCTGTACTGTACTTTGAGTTTATCTCCCAGTTGGTGTTATGTGAATGTATAAGGTAAGGTAGAGCTTTACGGTAGTGGAAATTCGATGGTGTTTTTGGATGTTGGCTTTGAATTTGAGTCAAACAGTCGGGTACATGACTAATATTCATTGCAGGAAGATTTGTTAATATAGGCCTTGTCTTTAGCTGCTTCATTTTAAACCACTTAAGTTTTATGTGAACAGTATGTGTTCATAATGCTAATGTAGGTTGATTGTAGACCAAGTCTCTTGTTGAAATATTGATGATAATGTGTCTTTAAACTTGCTAAATGATCTATTCATAGGTATTATACTTACACACCGTGAACTTTATTTAATACTAAATTTTGATAATACAGTTAAACTGCAGTTTTCACTTAGTGCAGTTTGGCAGTAAGTTTTTATGGATGTGTTCATTTCTGTCATCAAATAGGGTATTGATAATAAATCCAAGAAGGACATGCCATCCTTATACGACTTTGTGAAGGCGGTGCCCCGCATATACAGTGGCAGTGTACAAGTTTTAAATGATCAATGGAGAGACTTAGATGTGATTGCTATACCACCCGAGATTAAGGACAGCAGTGGCATAGTGGACGTTTATACAAAACTGGGGGAACTTAAGGACGGTGTAGGTGTTTCCCAATTTAAGGACCTTTGTACATTTGCTTTGCAGGTATTGTCTCTTCCAACATCCAATGCAGATGCAGAGAGACTATTTTCGAAATTGAATTTAATGAAAACAAAATCCAGAAACGCTCTGCAAACTCCCTCTATTAATTCATTAATAGCCTTGTCTGAGGCTGTGAAATTCCAGGGTGGATGTATAAATTTTACACCAAATCAGAGGATGCTAACTTCTATTTGATATTTTTTGTTCAATTAGTGTTTAATGTTCCCATGTTATGTTATAATATTATATGGTTGTAGGGTTTTTGTATGTGCATATTTATAGTTTGCCAAGACATTACAATAGTTATACCTAATATTCATGCTTTTTAATGTCCATTAATACCCAGCGAAAACGTGAGGAAAAATGACGTCATAGAGTTGAGGAATAAACGTCAGCGCTCCGATGGGACTCCGTCAGTTGGACGATGACGTCAGTGTGTGAAGACTTTACTTTAGTTGACTGGTACGTTTTTCAATGCGTTTTGGAGAACGAAGCCGCAGCCCTTGACATCTTTGGGCTCACAGTGATCTCGTTTCGTCAGTAAAGTGTCCGAGAGATGTGATTCTAAAGTGTCAGTACCGTGTAGATCGCCATGGGTGGTACTGTGGTTAGCGACGGACGTTGACGAAGAGAGCTGGACATCACTATCCTCCTACATCTTTTAATTAAGGTAAGCTGCTGACACACAGGGGGGGGGGGTCCACCTCATGGCCAGGAAGTTAAAGGCAGGTAGTTAAATTTTTAATCACCCCATAACTGTTCTTGAATAAGTTAGGTTTGGTTTCGTATGTTTTTTGCGTTTTACTCTCCATTTTTTAAATATCCATAACTTCATTTCTGACGGCAATGAAGGTAATATTCGTATATAACGTGATGAATTACGCCATAAAAATCTATTTTCAATAGTAAGTTAGGTGTTGCCAACTAAATATTTACAGGAACACCAGTAACAGGCATCTTCCATATTATCATCTGGTTATCGAAGTCGGTATTGTATGAGAACACCGCTACTACCAAAAGGAGTTGCTCGATTTCGTTATTTTTTTCCACATGTTATTAACATTATAGTAAGTATTTTAAAAGAGGTGACATTTACTGGAAGCTGACCTAACCAACCAAACCTACCAGCCTTAACTAACTTCATTGCCCGGGGGTTATTCTCCCTGGACCCTCACTATAAACAGAATGTGGTAATTATATAGGACTAACCCGGATTTTCATTGTTATATTATGGTGGACCACTTGTAGTTTGTGGAAATATGTAAAAAAAAAAAAATAAAAAGCAACTTAACATTTGTGGCTATGAAGAACAGACCTAACCAACCAAACCAAACAAACCTACCTAACCTTATCTAACTTCCCTGGTAATTTAAACAGAAAGAACTTACTATGTTATGGTGAGATTTGAGATGATACGGCCGCATCGGCGCTATGCAGCCCGGCGGTTAAGTCCTATATATTAACCCAGAAAGTACTTCTTTTGATATCTGGTACCAATGAAAGCAACTTTGATAAAGCGTCATGGTGTGATTTACGTATTTTTGTGGACGTGAGAGTATGCTAAGACCAAGTTGGTCGGATGCAGGTGACACTCGCAAATTTTTCGGAGGCGTATTTACGGTAAATAATTAATTTCTTCACGTACAAAGCAAGTAGAGACATCATTTTAGTGTCGCAATCAGTTTTGCTCCGTATTTTACACCGTAATTTCCCCTCATCCTTTTGCTTTACTCCGCAATTTTCCTCACCCTTCATGCCCTGCCCACTGCAGGAGATTTTGGCCGTAGATATAAAATACTTATAATTAAAAAGAAGAGTTGTAGCCTGTTTTAAAATACTTAATATAAACGATAAGAACATGTGGAAATAAAGAACGAAATCGAACAACTTGTGGTAGTGATGTTTTATAAATTACCTCAATCTTCAGCGTGTGAAAGAATAAAACAGCCACCAGATTCTATGACAAGGTGTATTCATGATCCGTTTTTGAGTTTAAGAATTTTCTGGAGACCCGACTTCAACTGTTGACATGAACTGTACGTACAATTGTAATACATCAAGAGGTAATAGTGGATAACGGTTAACACCAGAAGGAATTTATAGAAATGGTTATTTTTTTCAAAGATGTTGTAAAAACGACACAAGTTTCTCGTTTAATTGGAAATTTATAATGTATATTTTTCATTCTTATTTACCTTTACCCATAAACATTTGATAGAGCGCCTGTATGCCGATCTGAAATACTAGAATATAAATGGAACTTAAATTCGTATTTCGTGTCCGTGTATGAGCGTTTCATTCCGAACATATCAAGTCTTAAATCAAAATATTTGGCGAGTTAAAACTTTAATATTGGTAAAAATAAAAGTTTTGCTTGTTACTACATCGATTCACTGATTAATATACGATGATAGGCTGTGACTGTAAGGAGTAATATTGGCAGATAGATTGTATATGTTATGAAGTGTGTTCCCGAAAACCTTGAAACACTCCATAATTAAATCAGTTGACTATATACGGTACATGTTTAAGTTGTTAGAATTATATATTTCAAAGTAGTCTATGGAAAAATATACTTTTGGGGATAATAAGCATGGCAGGGTAACACGACCTGCTCCATGATTTGGTTCGTGTACAGTATTCCATATAAATTCAAGCATTTCCTGGTATATAGGAGGTGTCTCGTTGAAATATCAGCAACAGCAGTTGTTGTTACACTTAGGGGGATGTTGCTCTTAGACGAAATAATACAACACATCGGATTTTGTAATACCACACACACTAAAATTGTTGGAAAGTTATGTTTAATTACCCAAAACAGTTCCAGGGAATTATGTATAATTTTAGTTATGAATAAGAAATTATGACCTAATTGTTACCATGATTGTTAAAATATCGTTTTTTTTTCAATCCAACATGAGTCAGTGATGCAATAGCAACATGTAAGTCATAAATGTCAATTTATGATTTGTTATTGAAATTCATTTTGTTGGAAAAAATGACGGAGACTGAGAATGATTAGAATATTGGTGGAGCATAAGCTTTAAAACTTAAATTTTCAGGTAATGTCATTATCATTTCCATTTTTATATTTTACGGGGAATAGCCCACCTGGGCACAGGTTATCGACCCACAACTAGGCCTGGGGGGTATAAAAGTAAAAATAAATTTATAGTTTATTACAACTACAGTCTAGTTTATACGTCACCCTTTAAATAGTGTACTATAGTGCCTTTGTCCCAGCTTGAGAAGAGATGCCCCTACCCCTTCTCAAGAGTTACATCTGATTGGCTGTTGCAAATCTGTCCGATTTCGTCCTGAAGTACTGATGTATTTCTAAATGAATATATTCATAATCGTTGGGATGACTGTTTCTGACGAGAAAGATATTTAGCTCAATTATATAAAGATACATTCATTATTTCAAACATGAGCACGTAGGAAGTTTACCAGAAATCTTATACATGGATAATATTAACTGATAGCAAATTCACGCTTTCGGAGGACGCATTATAATACAGTGGTCCCTCGGTTAACGAGCACAATCCGTTCCAGCAGGTTGCTCCTTAACCGAAAAACTCGTTAACCGAAACCATTGTTTCAATGGGTTTTTGGGTAATTGGTTCCAGCTCACCGAAAATTGCCTAAATTCAACAAAAAAGGTAAAGTACACTTACTTTGAGGTGTGTATGTAGAAGGTTCCTGGATGATGATGATGGGAATTAGAATGGGGGTGGAGGAGAAGGGAGAAGAGAAGGCATTGGGGTGGAAGAGAAGTCACCCCATGGCACCATTTCACCCATAAAATTTTAGTTCTCTTGGTGTAATTCAAGATTATTTTCTTTAAATCAACACTGCACTGCATTATATATTGTCAATATGCAAAATAAATTTCAAAATGACCAATAATTTGCTTGGAAACAGAAAAAAAGCGTTTAGTTGAAGAGAGTCTCAAGCAAGATGTTACCCCACTGAAAACAGAGAGACTAACGCCTGTCTGGTGTGTTAACATGCTGGATGGCACGTCAGAAATTAGTTTCTTTACCTTCAATTATGTTCAATAATTGTTAAAATGACTAAAAAAGTTAATATTAAACTTTTAAAATTATTGAATAGTATAAACTTCTTAATATTTACTAAAATAGTAAGGAATTTAAGCCCTAAAACCGATTACTGTATTGGCTGACTAATACTGCAGCTGGTGGACCGCCAAATGCAAGCAAAAACATGTTGAAGTCGGCTTGTAAAAAACTCGTTAACTCGTTAACCGAGGCTCTCGTTAACCGAGGGATCACGACCGTTAGCAGAGGCCGTGTAATATTTGAACGTGATTCTGATCTTTTAAAATATTAATGTAGTATTACTGATGTTTGATTTGTATTAGTATGTCTTATTATGGGTAAAAATAAGTATATATTAAATGCGTCCTCCGAAAGCGTGAATTCTCTACCAGAGTTTAACAGTTAAATATTCATGTATGAGATTTCTGATAAACTTCCTATGTGGTCATGTTTGAAATAATGAATGTATGTATCTTTATATAATTTAGTTAAATATCTTTCTCGTCAGAAACGGTCATCCCAACGATTACGAAACTGTTCATTTAGAAATACATCATTACTTATTGACGAATCAGACAGACTTGCAACAGTCTTCAGGTGCAACTCTTGAAGAGGTGGTGGGGCATCTCTTCTCAGCTGGGAAAACCCACTATAGTAGATAACAAATTTATTAAGTTGCTTATTAAAAACAGAGTTTTATAAACATGTTTTTGCATACATATTGCGATAGATACAGTATTGTGTTAGTTTGGCCTAGGTGAGGGTAGATTGACTTTGGCTGGAATGTTTAGGTTAGTTTGGAAGTATTTCACGAACTGGGCAATGTCATAAACAGGAGGAACGCCACTAGCTTCTCGGTGATGGTGGGTTGTTAATAGTTAGATATCACCTCCCCAAGATATAATGACAAGTTTAATTGGATGTATCAGTCCACTTGAAAAGCCTTTATTTAGAATTTGAACTTTTTTTTTCTTTTTAACGGGGATTAGCCCACCAGGACACAGGTCACTGACCCACATCGGGGCCTGGGGGGCGAAAATGTAATAATAATAATAATAATTCATAAATAAAATTTAGAATACAATTGAAAATAAAAATAATAAAATAATAATAATATTAATAATAACATTATGTTAATAATAATGGAAATAATAAAGAAACATAAAAAATACAAAAATTAAATAAAGATCAAAAGTGAGAAACAATATATGTATGTTGTGTTGTCAATAGGAAGAGAAACAATTGAGACCCTGCAATTGTGTGTAAATGAGGCAGAAAGTCAGATCAGCAACCTGGGACTTGGTCACAATTTTTGTGATGCCATATAGACAGCAGGGTCTACCATGAGACAACACATTATGCTATCAGTATCTTCCCAGGCGGTAGTAAATATAACTAAATTGAAAATCAAATTTTTAGGGTAGGATACACCAGCCTCACTTTCCTCGCCCACTCTCTCCAGGTACTGCCTTAAAAAAATATATACAATATTCAGAGTGTTTATACAGTCCTTCACTATCACAATTATTTAAAACATCGACAGTTTGCTTTGAAAAGTCCTTCAGTAGCCTTTACTGCCACTCTCTCCTATTTCGACTTAGATAATGTAACTACAAACTCGTCCTTGACCCATTGTTCTTTGTCCCCCACCATTGCAGCTGGCAGCCTCCGTGGTCACTTTCCCGGTAACATTCATAGTGCAGCTGCAATGTGGATCGAGGTGAACATGGCCGATCTCTCACCATGGGGTCAACATTATGCTACGTTATTTGTCTGGCTGGACACGTGTGGTCATATAGGAGCTCGGCTATGCGGTAGTTTATTATCAGTGTCTCAGCTGGTAGTCGGGCGTGGCGGGGATGAGGTTGAGTGTTGGAACATGGCGATCATCATCTGTTAGTGACTGGAGGGATGATGAGCTTTGGGCCGAGATGAGGGTGTGAGAAGATCTGAGGCGGCTCTGTTTGTCAGTCCGCGGCTTAGAGATGTCCTCCTTTAAGATGTGCTGTTTATCTATCTTATTCACCCGGTTCCTGTCACCCGCCTCTACTCCCCGTCTCTGGAATTATTATATTGTTCTAGTGGGGTATAATAGAACATACCGAGGACCACTTTGTCATACGTTATCTCGCGTTAATGGAAACGATAATGTACAGTACAGGAGACAAATGGTGTGGACTCAGATTTTGTTTGTATTTTTAGTGTTTTTCATGTTATCCGGTGATTTATTACGAAATCATCGTTCATCTATATATCAATCACATACAGGGGTATATACCCACTTGTAAATATCAGATACTGCCAACAGTCCACTTTGGCCATTGTTGTTCACGCTGTAAGTTCACACACACACACACACACACACACACACACACACACACACACACACACACACACACACACACACCAATATGTAGTTCTTAATTGGCCTATATAATGATGGCGTCTGTAGAACGACCTAAATAATACTGTTTTCTTATTTTTTTTTACAAAACAAAAGAAACGTTACCCCAAAATAGTTAGTGATGGTTTAATCAACTAGGTTACATCAATAATGGGTTACTATGGCAATCTCTGACCCAGTCCCCCAACTTAAAGGATACCGCCGGGTACCCTAAAACTCCCCTAATGATTTTTGGTTGACGTTTGTTTAAATCTCATAATTATTTTTGAAACGCTCGTCCCTTACGAGAGTCGGGCCTCACCTTGTAGAAGTACTCGGAGCAAAGGCTGACGAGGCCACACATAAATCCGCATCCCAGAACCGTGAAGGACCCCAGCATGTCTAGGAAGCCCAGGGCCTGTAAAAGAGAGTTGTCCCGTTAGTGATTTGTGTGTGTGTGTTGTGCGTGCCATGTTACCCGCATGGACGACAGTAGACTGCCAAAGCAGCTACTTTACAGTCGCCTAACGGATAGTAAACGTAACGCCGGCGGGCAATTGAAAAGGTATAAAGATAGTCTTAAGACAAACCTGAAAAAGTGCCAAATCGACCCTCTCACATGGAAGTCGATTACTCCACATCGTAACGCTTGGAGGAGCATCACACGAAAAGGTGTCAATACTTTCGAGTTAGCCCGACTGCAAACCGAGGCAGACAAGCCCCCCCACATGTGCAACGAATGTGAACGACGCTGCGGGTCCCGTATCGGTCTCTTTAGTCACCTCAAAACTGACTAACCTAGGTGATATCCCCAATACCTCATATCATTGTATCATAGCTGGATGATCGCCATACTCGATTCCAAGTGACAGCAAAGTAGTAGTAGTGTGTGTGTCGATTTATATTTATAGTCAGTCGATTTATATATGAATATGTTTATTTGTGTGTATGTGTTTGCCCGTCTGTTTGATCGGCATTATACACAATTCTGGAAGAGTAAAGACAAACAGACAGACAGAATGGCGGGTAGACTGACCTTGGTTTTGGATTTCTTTCCCCCGCTGGTGCAGACGTTTGGTTTGGGCCAGTACTTGAGCTTCCACTTGCGGAGAAGTCCCGTCTGTTGCATCCTGATAAACCTGGCAAGACACACACACAAGGACTTAAATAACCTGACCTTTGTAAGACGGATTGATTAATTTTTTCGCTTTAAAAGACTCTCTTCTCAGATGAATTTCTGTACACTCACTCGTTCACTCAGTCTTAGAGGACTTTTTTACTCTTCCTCACTCGTGTATTTATCACACCCTCTGCCACCGTCCCTTCCAGATCACCGTTCATAATCCAAACTTTTCTGAGTAATACATTTTCATCTCTAACCAGCTTCTGTTCAGTATACTGTACATCACAAATGACTAAATCATTGTCCTTTATCCTCTACGCCCCTAATAATTTCTTCCCCTCCAGTCTCCTCACTTTCCCTATCTCCCATATCCCTCATTTCACTCCATCCCATCTGTCCTCCACGCCATCCTCATCCTTGTCCCCACGCCTCGACCCTCTTAGACGTGGATCTCCTCTTTTAACATAACTGGCTAGTCATATGGACGCCCCTGAAACATCTTGACTTCATGAGTCATAAATAAGCTAAGATAAATGTGATTGGGTTAGGTTAGATTTAGTAAACTGAGTTAGGCTTAACCCGGAGCAAAGTGTGTAGTTACTCACTCTCTGTTGAGGAGTTGGCCGATGGTGTTGTCCTTTTGGTGTATCCAGCCGAAGCCCGCGGGAAAGAATTCGGTTGGGGCGATGTCCAGGTTGCACTTGCCTGTCTTGCGGAAATCTTCCTCAAGCACGAAATCCAGGAAGGACCGCTCCTGAAGTAGGCGAGGCACCACAACACGTGAAGGAGAAATACTCTTGTTAACCTCATGAGAACGATGACTTAACCCCTTGAGTACATTATCAACATACTCCAGGAAATATGGCATCGTATTCAAAGGGTTAAAGTCTTTTGTTATTAAAGTAGGTGGGATTTGTTATGGTGGGTGTCGTTGATGTAGGGCAGGTGGTGGTTGTAGCAGGTGATAGTGATACTTGTGATTGTGATTATTATGGTTGTAAGTGATGGTGGTAACTCTGATGTGTAGGCTAGACTTTGGTTGGTGGTGGAGTTTGTTGTGGATGCATTAGATGGTGGTTGATGGGGTTGCGAGTGGTGGTGGCAGTTGTTGTTATCGCAGTGGTTAGGTGGTATTTTCATGTATGCAGGTAGGATTAGTGGTGGTGTTTCCTGTGGGTGTAGTAGGTGGACGTTTTTATGGTTGCAGTGGGTGGTGGTGCCTGTCATGGTTGCAGTGGGTGGTGGTGCATGTCATGGTTGCAGTGGGTGGTGGTGCTTGTCATGGTTGCAGGTGGTGGTGCTTGTCATGGTTGCAGTGGGTGGTGGTGCTTGTCATGGTTGCAGTGGGTGGTGGTGCATGTCATGGTTGCAGTGGGTGGTGGTGCTTGTCATGGTTGCAGTGGGTGGTGGTGGGGGTTGCAGTACAATACCTACCTTGATGTAGACGTGCGTACCCTGCAGGACCTGATCGATGGCTTTTTGGTTCGTGGTGACCAGGTCGCTCATGTCCTCAAGGAAGGGCGCGCCTATTGTCTTGTAGATCTGTTCCGCTCCGTCACCCTGCAAGAGTGTGGTAAAACGTAGACTCTCTCTCTCTCTCTCTCTCTCTCTCTCTCTCTCTCTCTAGTCATCCAAAACACTCACCAGAAAGAGAGATTCGTGGGCTGACCCCTTCATAAAAGTCCACTGGTAATTTTTCTGCTTGGGCAGGTCGTAAAGGGAGCTAATTGCCCGCTCTGTCTTTGGTACCGTCAGGAAGGAGATGAGGACCCCCGTGTAGGCGCAGGAGAGTGCAATGACCGCGGTGATCCAAGTCCCAAACACTACTCGTGACGGTGAATTCATGGGGTAATCCACACCTGGGGAGAGGAGAGGAGTGTGAGTGAGGAGGGTGGGGAGGAGAGTGTGGGAGTCGAATTGGTGTAGTGAGAGTGAATTGGAGGAAAGAGCGGGGAGGGTGAGTGGGAAAAGAGGTGGGGGTGAGTGGGAAAAGGAGGTGAGGGTGAGTGGGAGAAGGAGGTGAGGGTGAGTGGGAAAAGGAGGTGAGGGTGAGTGGGAGAAGGAGGTGAGGGTGAGTGGGAAAAAGAGGTGAGGGTGAGTGGGAAAAGGAGGTGAGGGTGAGTGGGAAAAAGAGGTGAAGATGAGTGGGGAAAAAGAGGTGAGGGATAACTTTGCACTCCCTTGTCCTCTGTTGTTTACACTTTTCAACTTTAAATTATGCAATCGTCAATCACAACCAGGAAACATATGAAATGAGAGGCGAGTCTTGTAAAATATCCACTGTACTGTTAGCTAGTGACACGTGTCGAATACCTGATAATAGAATTCAAAGTTCTCATAATTTTTTATAGTTGACAGATTAGTGTAATTACTAATGTTCTTTAGTGCTTAAAGACCTTACTTAGTTGTTGAAGCGTAGACCATTTCATTGTTTATACGTCTGGGTGTTTGTATCAAGAGATATTTTCAGATGGTTTAAATCTTTGAGGACGATGGTTTAAACCTTTGAGGACGATGGTTTAAACCTTTGAGGACGATGGTTTAAACCTTTGAGGACGATGGTTTAAACCTTTGAGGACGATGGTTTAAACCTTTGAGGACGATGGTTTAACCTTTTGAGGACGATGGTTTAAACCTTTGAGGATGATGGTTTAAACCTTTGAGGACGATGGTTTAACCTTTTGAGGACGATGGTTTAACCCTTTGAGGACGATGGTTTAACCCTTTGAGGATGATTGCAAACTATGTATAATCCTAAAGAGTTTAACCCATAGTTCTTAAGCGGTTAAACCATTGTCGTCAAAGGGTTAAACCATTGTCGTCAAAGGGTTAAACCACCGTCCCCCAAAACCTCAGTAAAATTGATCTTCGAAACAGTTTTGGAGTTGTGTTGGGAAGTTAAACATGTAAGAACCTTGATCCTATCTGGTTATCACATGATTTTCCACCTTGGCGTCTGTAAGAAAGTTTTTAAGAACTCAAAAACTATTTAATTTACAGATGGGATTTATAATATTATTTATTTATTTGTTTATTTATTTTTTACTCGGCAACTCCAGCAGAGTTTGGTGATGAGTGTTGGTATCCCAGTAGTAGTTTTTCCTTTAAGTTTTAAATACCTCTTTTATCCTCTTCCTCTTTCTCTTCTCATCTTTTTCCTATTAATCTTTACTCCTGTTTTTATCTCCTCCATCTGTCTTAATTCACCTCTTCTCCTTTTTTTCCGTATTGTTTTTTTTTGCCGTTTTCTCTAAAATCATATTCATCGTAATTTCTTTTACTTCTCTAACATCGTTTGCTTCCCCTTCTACCGATTTTTCTCACTTGACATACTAAAAAAATCGGAACTGTTTAAATTTCCATGATTCAATACATTATAAAAGTTCTTCGGCCTTGGTTTAATATCACTCGTATTAAACCGATGAATAAAACTTAAAAAAAATGCTTTAATACGGAACTGCTAACACCCGTCACTGTGTAGATAACTGTGCGGCCAATCCGATCAAAGACTTGAGCGAGAAATTCAAATTTGTAGTAAACACGGAATTAATTTTACCGTCTAGCCCTAGAGGCAATTATAGGCGCGAGGTGGTGACATTATTATTATTATTATTATTATTATTATTATTAATACTAAAATAGTCCATGCCCGTAGCGAATATGTAGACAGTAGGAGTAATTATGATAATTCTATTCCTTCATTAAGGCCGGGTAATATATAAAAAAAATAAATAATAATAATAAAATATGGGCCTCCCTTCAGCAGCCTAATTAGTATAGTCCACTTGTTGGCGCAGAGGCCGTTAATAATGAACAATTTATGCTTGATGATACAGTGTTATAATTACAGACCTCCTACAGGGTAAAATCACCATAAATCATGAGGGAGACGTCTTAGATGGTTGGCCACCTCCCGGAGTGATGAATGATTGACTTAAGGAAAAGCACAATATTAACATACGAAATACCGTGAGAAATATACTTAGACTAACTTAAAAAGATATACTTTCTTTTAATACCAGTTAGGAGAGAACATTAAGGAGATTTGAGATGTTTCATAACTTGTCCCCGGTACCAAGGAGACCAGAGTAGTGTTTCCGCCAGGCTAATGATTGACACTGATATGACGGCTGATGTCCGTGTAACAGTAACACATCACCTCCATGTTGACCTTTCCTTGACCCACCCTGCTGGAGGAGAGACTCGCACCCCTCCCCCTTGCCCCGGTGACCCACCTTGTCGGACGAAGGAAGCGTACAGTATCCAGTAGTGGCCGGAGAGGGTGATGGGCGAGGTGGCCACATGAGTGTTGTCGTGCGGGTAGAAGAAAGTGAGCCATTGGATCCTGGCCATGAGGTACATCACCGGCCCCAGCATCACCATCGTTATCAGGATGACCACCCACACCTGCAACACCGTAAAGAAACACACAGGGTCAGAAATGGATGGTACTTGAGCTGTAGTGAACATCTGCAGTGTATCATAAAGAGAATATCAGGATAACACATATACCTGGTAGAGGGGAGCTGAGTGACCCCCTGCCCCCTCTCGTCTCCCCTGTGCAGATTTATAGCGTTTTTAACGGAAACAAATAATGGATTAATTCCGACCCATTTGCTGAATATCATCAAGATTAGTCGACCCGCTTTTTGAGATGTTCTTAGATAAATAGACAGACCGAAACATAAGACTAACCTTCGTGTCCTGAAATCGATTGAATTTTAAATTAAGAGAAGCTATCAAATATGAATACTACGCATTTTTTATTATTAGATCTTATACAAGAATCCTGCCCAGTTGAGTGATTTGGAAATATGACAGTAATTAGGAATTCAGACAAACAAGTGAAAGAGAGAATCAGAACGAACCACATTCAGAATTCGACAACATCTGGACTAGACTAGCACGATCAGAATGTTGAGAATGATTGATATGTGTGTATATGAAAGGCTGAGCTGCCGTATAATTCATCGGGAGGAAATAATGACGGGAGATGAGTGTAACTGGGTCAGTGCCCTCTTACTTCTCTACCTTAACCCCCTGAGGATGATCGATGACTTAACCTCCTTGAGCTCGATGACGACAACCCTATGAGCATGAAACTTGAGATTGATAAACCCAGGAGCATGATGACTTGAGCATAATATCAACCCCATGAGCACCATAACTTAACCCCTTGAGTACGATGATTTAAGCTTTGGTACTTAATGAGCTTATCCATTGGGGGTCAGGGCATCGACGTCCTTACTTGGATATCGTACTCATTGTGGTAAAATGTACTCTGGGCCTATTCACTGTACTCAGACATCGTATTCAAGAGAGAGAGAGAGAGAGATTGTGGTACCTTGTAGTGGAAGGGGTCAAGGAAGGCCGTGATCTTCCTGGTTTGTCGGGTGACGGGGGTGAGGATGGACGAAGGCTCCACGTAGAACGGGAAGGTGAACTCGATAGCTTGTGCTCGCTCTAGTGTGATGGTGAAGGGCGCCACTCCCAGGTCTGCCTCCTGACACACACACACACAACATGTACGGATAATTAGAACCATTGATTTATATATGTTTTCAATTGGGATTTTTTTCGTAAACATTACTAAATTCTGCTTAACTCAACCTAACTTGTCCTCATGCATTGGTTTTTTATATCAGTTAGAGTATGTTATATGTTATTTTCTTTTTGTATGGGATTGTATACCTAAATTACGCTATTTTTGTGGGTGTATTAGTACAGTATGTCCAGTATACACAATGTAAAGACTTATTATAAACTGGAGTAACATATAGTTGTCAGGTTATATGGAAAGGAAAATATTTTATAGTATAGAGACCAAGTTAATTTTTTAAATCATATGGAAATGTTATATAAAGTTCACTCGTCAATGTAGATATAAATGTTATTAAACTATTCCTAACAAAACTAAAGCTCTGATATTTTGCATCCCTGAGTGGAAGACACGATGGGTCGTGGAGTATAGGGCTGACTCACCCTCCTGTACACCATGCCCACCATGCCGTTCCAGGTGCCATTAGGGAGTTTAGTGCCCCAGTTGCCGTCGTAGGGTAGTGCCACTTTATACCTGTCGGGGGAGAGACAATGTTACACTCATGTTTACCTTGAGGAACAATACTACACACACACACACACACACACACACACACACACACACACACACACACTCTGTCCCGTGAGGAGCCATAAATACTACACGTGCAGTCAAGTAAGTTTAATTAATTTTGCCAGTTGCACTGTGTTCCTAGTTCATTCCAGTTTACACCATTAGTGTTTTAGTTTGAGTGTGAGGGATTAAAACACACGCAGAGGTGTGGTAAAAATCCTTACTTGAAGCCCAGTTTACTCTGCAGTTGGCTGAGCATCTCAAAGGCGAACCCTGACTGACTTATGATGTTGCCCGCCGAGTCCGTCTTTAGGAAGACGAATGGCGGCCGCTGTGGGTAAGACGGGGTGGGGGAGAGGGGGTTAGTTGTTGTTGTTGTGAGGGAGGGAAGGGT